GGCCGGGCGCCCCTACGGCTGCCGACACGGACAAGTCCCTGGGTACGAGAGACAACGACTCCCGTATGGGCCTCCCGGACCCGCCCGACCACACCGTCAAGGACGAGAGCGGTGAAGACGCGACCCCCCCTACGGAAAAGGTGGAGTCACCCGACTTCGGAGAAGGCGAGCCCCTCCTCTTATTTCCTGCTCGGACTCGGCCACGGAGGTCGACGGCAACGGCCCAGGCGACAAGGCGCCTCAGCGGAGCCCAACGGCAGACAGCTCTGAACCCAGCTCCGAGCATGTCCCGACCGCCGTCGAGGATGGCGCGGCCAACGCCGACCACAACAACGGTGCAGCCAGGGGATCCGAGGATGACGAGAGCGCCCGCGACCGAGGTGACGCGTGGACCGATCAGACCCCAGTGCGCATCCCGCAGCTCCCTGGACATAGACCTACCTACCCTCGTCATACAGGCTCGTCGGAGCGGGATGCGCTCAACCTGCTGACTGACCCGCAAGGGGGTGGCCCCATGTACAAGGTCTGGCTGGGCACTGTGGACCTGGAGCGTTCCAACGAACCACCCGCCAAACGCCTCGCCAGACACCAGTCGGAATTGGGTGCGGTTTTTTGCGCGCTGTGGACCGCCCACACGCAGCGCATTTGGCTCCCTGGGTCCAGGGGGCCCAAATCTGACCCGAGACTGCGCGCGGAAACGACCATCAATACGTTTCTCGAGGACTGGAAGGGCTGCGGGTACAACGCCTACCTGATGGACACGAGGCATGGCTATCGCATTGACTGGGACAAGCTACGGGCCGACTACCTGCGACACAGCCGACCCGACGGCAGGGGCAAAGGCAACCACCAGCAGAGCAGCTGGCGAGACCGTGCGACAAGCTCCTGGGACACCTGGGGCAACTGGCAGAGCGACTGGGGGTGAAGGATGGCGCGACGATCGCTGGCAGACGGGCGGCAAGCGTGGTGGAGGCCGACCCGACGATCGAGACGAAAAGAGACACCGATGGAGAGACTGAGCTCACTCCCCACACTTAGCGCCTAGGCAGCCCACGATAACCTCATTACACACTACGTGCGGCCTTCGGCCGCCTTCCCCTCTCTTGCAACCGCGGGGCAGCCCTGCTGCCCCCCCTCCCTGGTCCGCACACTTCCTGCCTTTGGACCCAAGTGTGCCGAGCAGTAATACCATCTGCCTCGCTGCGCGATGGAGCGCGGATCGCAGACCCTAGTTGGCCCCTGGCCCCGCTGTAGTAATTCTCACCAGTGGCCCGAATGATCCCGTGCTCGGCTAAGCTGTTTGGGAGCGACCGTTGTCCACTCTTCATGCGTCTTACACCCTGGGACTTCTAACAGGCAGCGGCCTTCTGCCGCGCTTTGTACCCGCTTGCGGCTTTCTGCCGCCCCTCCTGGCACGCGCACTTCCTGCCTTTGGATACAAGTGTGTGTGTGTGTGTGTGTGTGTGTGTGTGTGTGTGTGTGTGTGTGCCAGTAATACCGTCCTCACGGCGATGTCGGGTTTGCGTGGGGACTTGAGGCCCCTGGCCTGACTGTAGCTGTTTTCACCTGCCAGGCCAGCCTGGCGCGCGGCGGTGGTCGACCTGGCGGTTTTCGCCCGTCCCCAGACTGCGCCACTCCCTGGATTCCACAAGCTACTACGGCCTTCAGCCGTGCCTTCTGGGACGATGTGACTGTGAGGGACGCGTTCTTGGGTGTGCGACGGTCCTGTCCCTCGAGCGCCTCCACACTTTGGCGTGTGGGCCTTGGCGCTGGGTCACGTTGATCGGTGCACTTCCTGAGCGACCTCGCGTTCTCACCGAGTGGCCTCGCGCGCCCCGCTGCGTCCAGACCAGATCGCTGGTTCTCTGAGCGCAGGCGCATCTCAGCAGTGGAAGGTTCTTACCTCTGCCCGCGCGGCCCTAGGCTTCCACTCCCTGGATGCGCGTTCTGATGCTGCGACGGTTCGCTGGCGCTGTCAGACTATTTTTTCCTGCTGGGCTGCGTCACCAGTCTCAGTCTGCTCATGCCCGTCAGACTCCCTGGACTGACTTCCCGCATGGAGATCGTTCCCTACCTTTGGTCGTCTCGATACGATCACGGCGGGAACGCCCAGCGCGCCATTTTGGCCGCGCTTGGCCCCCCATCGGGGGCTGGCCTCTCGGACTCTCTGGGTTGCCGTTTGCACGTTTACCTCAGGGGCCTTGCAGACTCCCTGGGATTGCACGACCGCTAGCCTCTCAGACGCCCTGGGTTGCCGCTGCTCGCCGCCTGATCCGCGGCTCCGCGCGCGCCCGCTAGTTAGTCGCGGCCGCAGCCCGAGCGTGACCGCTCGCCGCTGGCGCTTCCGCCTGCGGCTGTAAAAACGTATCCCCACCAGCCCGTCCAGAAACGACGCCCAGGCGAGTAGAGGGTCGTCCTGAGGGGCTTTTCGGCGTCTTGGGTGCCTCGGGGGGGCCTCTGTGGGCCGTTCGGGATCCTCTTTGGGGCCTCCTGGGGGCCTCTTTGGGCCTCTTGGGGCCATCTTGGGGCCTTTGGGGGCCTCCTGGGCGCTTCTTGGGGCCATCTTTGCCCCCTTCAGGAGGCCAAAATGGGGCCAAAAGGGTCTCTTGAGGCCTCTTGGGGGTCTCTTGGGGGCCTCCTGGGGGCCTTTTGGACCCGTCTGGGCGCCCTTGAAGGCCCTGCTGGGGCGCTCTTGGGGCAATCTTGGAGGACATCGGTCAAGGAAGTAAGGTTCCTTAATTAGAGCCCCCCCCCAGGAACTCCAAAAATCGTCTCCTGTACCGCTCCCGGACCGCTCTTGGAGCGCTCTTCGGCGCTCTTGGCGCCGTCATTGGGTTTTCTTGGGCCCTTCTTGGAGCTATCTTGAGCCATCTTGGAGCCATCTTGACGCCTCGGATGTGCATCGCAAGCGAAAAAGTGAGAACACCAAAAACATTGATTTCCCCAGGGTTTTGAAGCATTTTGGCCTCTTAGATGCATCCTAATGATGCTCTTGTGGGCACTTGGAACCGTCTTGGAGAGTTCTTGGAACGTCTTGGAACATCATGGGGACCATCTTGAGGCATCTTGCGCTATCTTGAGCCATCTTGGAGGGTATCTTGGGCTCCCTGAGGCCCTCTTGGAGCCGTCTTGGGCCGTCTTGGGCGCTCCAACGCGCCGCGGAACCCCCTGTCCAGGTCAGTGGGGAGGGGGTATGGGGGAGGGGTAAACCCCTCCCCGAAAGGGGAAGAGGGAGGGGTGGAAAAGGAAACTCGTTAAACCACCGACGCCCAGAGGGCTGGTGGGATTCTCGGGCCTCCTGGAGCCTCTTGGGGGGGCTTCCTGGGGACCTCTTGTGGGCCTCTTGGGGACCTCTTCGGGCCTCCTGGGATGGGAGCCTCTCGGGGCCGAGGGCTCGAACTGTCCGTTCGGGTCTCCCGTTTGTGCACGCTCTTGGAACCCTCCTTTTTTCTCCTCTTGGGCCGTCTTGGAGGCGTTGTGGAGTGTCTCGGGTCCTCTTGGGCTGTGGGGGACCCTCTTGGAGGCCTCTTGGGCCGTCTTAGGGCGATCTTGGGGGCCTCTGCGGCCGTCTTGCATCGAAAAACAATTCTCAAGTCCAGAACAACCAAAGGGAAATCATTGAATTTTGCCTCGTGGGGCCCTTCTCGGTAATACTGTTGGAGGCTTCTTGGGACGTGCTGGCGGCCTCGTGGGCAGTCTGGAGGGCGTGAAGGCGTTTTGGACCGATGATTCGTTGCGATTTGGGTCCCTCTTGGACCGCCTTGGAGGCCTCTTGGGCCGTCTTCGGGCGATCTTGGGGGCCTCTTGGGCCGTCTTGGAGCGGCGGGAGCGGGCAAACATCAAAAACCAACTCCCAAATCCTGAAACAACCAACAGGAAATCAATGAATTTTGCCTCGTGGGGCCCTTCTCGGGAGTGCTCTAGGGGCTTATTCTGGAGGGCATGAAGGCGTTTTGGACCGATAGTTTGACGATTGGGGGCCCTCTTGGACCGTCTCGGGGGCCTCTTGGACCACTTGGCTTGTCTTGGTACTTTCGGAGGCCCCGGGGCCCTCAGGGGGGGATGAGTGTCTGACCCCCCTCCCCCGAGGACCTCTCCTGGGACCCCCCTCCCGGGACCTCCCCTGGGACCACCCCGGGGACGTTCCCTCTTACCCCTCCCCAGGCCCCCCTCCCCCCTCCCGACGGGGGAGGGATCAGAGGGAAGGGGCTCCCCTTCGACTCGATGACGACATTGCGAGATGTTTCTTTCGCTGACAGGCTTGAGGCGGGTGCAGGGGAAGGGGACGACGGCGACAACGACTGACGGAGACGACGACTCGAACAGACAAGCTCCTCACACACGCCGACATACGCTTCCCCTGGACTCCCCCAGTTACCCTCATTAGTAGTAGCGATTGGGAAAGCCATCTTTCCAACATCGAGCGCCAGACCTTTTCCCAGGAGCCTTCAGGGAATATTCGTTGGGCGCATCGTTTCGTGCTCCTTCTTTTTCGAGGGGCCGCTGTGTGGTGGCTTCACCAGGTGGCGCTTCGCCATGCCCGCGGAAAGTTTCTGGAGCACCCCTAGGAGTTTCAGGACAGTGCCGACAGCTCCAGAGAGCCTCGGCATCCGCACAATTTTGACGCCTCTGACATGGTTTCCCGACCCGCGATGGTGATTTCCAGGCAGCCTTTCGTCTCTCTGACTTCCGTAAGTCGCATCTTTTCTCGACCTTCCACCGTGGCGTCATTGAACTAACTTCTATCGGGCTCCTTGGCTCTCTCTCTCTCTCTATTTGTTCCTTCTTTTGTTTCTGCCCATCCTCCTGCGAATCGGGTTCTGCTATTACTGCTTCTTCTGCTTGTGCCATGGTTGACCACCCTCTGCACATGGTCATGCCGCAGGTTCCGTTCTCGGGAAGAGGAGCGAGCAGCATGCCATGCCGCCCGAACATACAAGTCGTTCCAACGCCGTTTCTCGACAGGTCGCTATGTGCTCAATGCATGGAGGCAGCCCCAGTCAATTACAATGCTGCGATCAGCGCGTGCGAGAAAAGTAGTCAGTGGGCGCAGGCGCTGTCTTTGCTCAGCGAGATGTCGAGTGCGAAGCTGAAGCCTAATGTCATCAGCCACAATGCTGGGATCAGCGCCTGCGAGAAAGGCGGGCAGTGGGAGCTGGCACTTTTGCTGCTCAGGGAGCTGTGGGAGGCGAAGTGGGTCCCAAGCGAGATCAGCTACAACGCAGGGATCAGCGCTTGTGGGAAGTGCGGGCTGTGGCAGCGAGCGCTGTCGTTGCTCAATGAGATGTCGGAGGCGAAGTTGGAGCCAGACGTCATCTGTACTGCAGCAGCTTGTGTAGCACGTGCGATAATACAAAAGTGGTAGCGCTGGCCCCGCTTTGGGGCATTCTTCCCTGGGCCTTCTGGTCGCCTCGCGCTTCTCCAATGCCTCCCTCCCGTTCTCATGGTCGCAGAGACCCCTGCTACGTTTCCGTTGGCCTTGTTTCCTGTCTCCTAGACTGCCAATCGTTTCCGCCCGAAGACGTCAAACATTCAGTTCCAGTTCTGGTCTCTGTGTATGTATGTTTCTGTCGCCCACGTGTCCCTGTCCAGTCGGTTCCGGACTGCCTGGTCGCCCCCGGTAGACTATGTGCCCACACAGCCCCGCGAAGCGCCCGCGGTGGCCCCAGAAGGGCTGAAATATACACCCGAGGGGCGAGCGAAGGTAGGCTCATCACAATAGTCGCACATACAATTGTGGCATGTTCGTGTCAGGGTGCCAGTGTATCCACTATGTGCTCTCTTTGCGCTCTCGTCGAACCTGGGAACGGGCAGGCCCGTTCGAGGGCCGCAAAACGGTCCACCAGGCGCTTCTGGGACACCCTGTCAAGGCTGCCTCCAGACGCACTCGATCCCCTGCAGATTCCCTGCGGGCCCTCTTCGGAAAGACTGTGGCAACAGGAGATACGGTCTCAGGGCCCTCGAAACACTGAGATTGCTAGACTGTTCGCATGCGCTCGTTCCGCTGTTTGTGGAAGGCGGCCCTGGCGAGTCGCCGTCAACCCCCGTGACCCGAGAACGCATCTTGGCGCCTGTTGGGTCTTCGTGGGCTGGTCTTGGGAACTCTTTTGCCATCTTGTCAGCCTGCCTCTTGGGCCATATTTGGAGCTCTCTTGGGGCCCTCTCTGTTCTTATTGGGGGTACCTTGGGGCCCCTTTGGGCTGTCTTGGTGTATTTCTGGGCCGTTCCTGGGGGCCCCTTGGTGCCGTCTGGGGGCTGCCTTGTGTGTTTCGCCTCGGACCCAGAACCCCCGAAACCCCGTTTGGGTTTCGGGGGCCCTGGGTCCTCCTGGGCTTCTCGGCTCCGCCCTTCGTCTCCTCCTCTCCTTGCCGCTGCCGCTGCTTTGAAAGCGTGTGTGCGAGATAGAGAGCGAGAGAGCGAGAGCGAGAGCGAGAACAAAGCAGAGAAGACACAAAAGTGATACCCACCCGCGCAGCAGGCTACGGTTCGCGAGACGGTGCGCAGAAACGCGGGGCCGCGCGCGCGCGCTCCCCGCCGTCCTCGTCGTCGTCATTGCAAGCGGGACCTCCGGTCGTGGTTCGGCTCCCAGTCGCCACAGCCAGGCTCAAGCTCAACATGCCTACGTTACCTGGCCCCCTTCATAGGTGAGCCAGGGCCACTGGCCAAGGGGACTTTGGCCTACGAGCCGAGAGATCCTTGTGGGCATGCCCTCAACCGAAGCGGTGCACGCACCGTTGGAGTTGGTTTTCTGGGTGAAACTCAAGTGCAGCTGTCATCCTCGGGCGCCCTGGGACCGCACCCTGAGGCCATCATCTCCGACACCTCCCTCGAGACGGAGAACAGCCAACTGGCCGCCCATGGGCAGCCCTCGGGGTACGGACTGGCCGTGCCTGTCCAGCAGGAGGGCAGCGCCTGGCTTCTTCCGCCGCCGCTCCCCCGGCCCGTGGGTCGCTGGTGCCAGGTCTTCTCCTGGGGCTGGCTGGCCGGGGCTGCTCGAGACGGCGGCTCCGGTGCCTCCCAGTCCTGGGCGTCCGCCTCTTGGGCACGTGCCCGCGCCTCCAGGCGATCCGCCCGGGGGCGGCGCCCAAGGCTGAGCCCGCTGCCTGGCCTGGGGCTGGTCCGCAACCTGCCGCGCCGAACACGGTCAAAGCGGGAGAGCAACCTAGCGTTGTGGACGACGATCAATGGAGAGAAAGCATGTTGCCAAATACTTTCCAGATGTCTAACACATGTTTTCAACATGTCGTAGACGTGTTAGCAAGAATGTTTCAAGCATTTTTAGAACATTGTTCCAACATATTAAACACATGTTTAATTCAGTGGTCGGATTGTTACGGTGTCCACTGTCAAGGCATCCACAAGCCCAGCGCCCAACCGACTGTCAAGGCATCCACAAGCCCAGCGCCCAACCGGAACCGCACAACTCACTGCATGCCCAGGCTGCCGCAGCCGCTGAGGCCGCCCAGGCGTCTGCGGCAGGGCGGCCTCTGCCGCGCCCCCGGGCAGGCCGACGCGCGCCCTCTGATGGGAGAGCCGTCAGGCGGCGCGGCGGGGCGACCCGATGCTGCAGGACGACGAGGACGAGGACGAGGAGGAGGAGGAGGATAAGGGGGGAGGAGGAGGAGGAGGAGGAGGAGGAGGAGGAGGAGGAGGAGGAGGAGGAGGAGGAGGAGAAGGAGGAGAAGGAGGAGGAGGAGGCGGAGGAGGAGGAGGACGAGGAGGAGGAGGATGAGGAGGAGGAATGGGGAGCGCCTGCCACCAGGCAAAAGTTCAACAATCCAGCGCGCGAGCTTCGCGATGATTTGCCTGGGCCCCGCTGTGGCGCGTCATCTGTCGGGGCCACGACGCGTGCAGAGGCTGTCTTGCCGAGCCTGGCAACGTCCTCCAGGGCCTCACGCGCAGGATGCGCCACACCCAGGCATCTTCAAGCCGTGTCGGCTTGTCTTTGTTGGTCGCTGAGTGGGTTGGTGAGATCAGCGCAAGATACCGCAGGTACATTCGGTGGAATAGCGAGATCGCCAACAAGAGAGATGTTCCCGCATAATGAAAGTTCAGGCTCCGTAGCAAGTCGGAGCGGTGCAACTGGGTCGTGGAAGTCATGCTCCTGTCCACGCGCCGAGTTACGGCTAGGTGCGAAGTGCTTCTCGACGCGCCCATCTGACCAGATTGAGCTCACCGAAGTAGCGGTAGGGAGACCTGCCGCGTTGGTTGCGTACCTCGCGAACTGTGTAGTCGTGGACGACGCCAACAATGGTCGCGCTCCGCGTCGTTGGAGGTAATTCCGCATGCATGTTTGCAGACGAATCGTTCTTTGAGATGAAGGGGTTGGACGCCAACTGATGGCGACCATCTCCCGTTCCTGTGGCACGTCACGTGACGCCCGTGCCTCTGGGGCCCATCCTGAGCGGGCATCAAGCCGGGAGGGGGGGCCGGGCCAGGAGAGACGCGTGGCTTTTTTTTCTCCGGGAGCCCGCCAGTGGCCATGGGCGACCCGGACGATCGGCTGAAGCTTCCCGCGTGCGAATCTTCGGCCCGGGTCCCTAGGTGCGTGGGTGCAGAGCTGGCTGCTCGGAGCGGGCGCCGCGTCTGGCGCGCGCAGCGCGGCGCCGCCATGACGCGCGAGACGGTGCTACCAGAGTGCTTGCGTACGTTAGCGCCAGCCACGGGAGCTGGTGTCCAGACTTCTGTATGCCGCGCGCTGATGGGCTGACGCGCGGGCCAACCTTTTCCGACCCCTGCGCGCACGAGGGCCCGGAGATGGCTGTTTTTGAGGAAAATCCTGGAGGCCTCGCGCGGCGCGTAATCGTTATATCATCTAGTCCACACGTCAGCTCCGTAAACCATGGGTCGACGCTCGCGCGGCGATGCTCCTGCGTCAATCCGACGTAAGTCCGTCGCAATTCCGACGTAGTCCGACGTGAACCCGACGTAAATCTGACGTGGGTCCGACGTTAATCGGGTCTCAAGTTGCAGCGCGAGGCCTCTGGGATTTTCCTCATAAGGCTGCTCAAAAGCCACCGCCCTCGATCTTTGGTCCGTCATCGGGGGGGGCCTAAGCGGAGGGGCAACCTGCCGCGAAGGTCAAGACAACCAAACCAGACGGCGCCGCGGAAGGGAAACCCACCGCGATCTCGGCGTCGAGGGAGGAACCGACATTTGAGGAGAAGGTCGGTGCCAAGAGTGAGGCCGCGGACATGGGGGACTCTCATGCTGCCAGTCAGATGGTTGACTTCATTCAGGCAGCCATTCTAACCCGACCCCGACAAGGAGAAGGAGAAGGAGGAGGAGGAGGAGGAGGAGGAGGAGTAGGATGAGGAGGAGGAGGGAGAGGAGGAGGAGGGGGAGGTGGAGGAGGAGGAGGAGGAGGAGGAGGAGGAGGAGGGAGGAGGAGGAGGAGGAGGGAGGAGGAGAGAGGAGGGAGGAGGAGGAGGAGGAGGAGGAGGAGGAGGGAGGAGGAGGAGAGGGAGGAGGAGGAGGAGAAGGAGGGGGAGGGAGAGGAGGAGGAGGAGGAGGAGGAGGAGGAGGAGGAGGAGGAGGAGGAGGAGGAGGAGGAGGAGGAGGAGGAGGAGGAGGAGGAGAGAGGAGGAGGAGGAGGAGGAGGAGGAGGAGGAGAGGAGGAGGAGGAGGGAGGAGGAGGAGGAGAGGAGGGAGGAGGAGGAGGAGGAGAGGAGGAGGAGGAGGGAGGAGGAGGAGGAGGAGGAGGAGGAGGAAGGGAGGAGGAGGAGGAGGAGGAGGAGGAGGAGGAGGAGGGAGGAGGAGGAGGAGGAGGAGGAGGAGGAGGAGGAGGAGGAGGAGGAGGAGGAGGGAGGAGGGGGAGGATGAGGATGGGAGGAGGAGGAGGAGGAGGAGGAGCGGGGCGGAGGAGGAGGAGGAGGAGGAGGAGGAGGAGGAGGAGGAGGAGGAGGCCGTCGCAAGGCCCGATTCCGCCCTGGGCCGCTCCAGGCCGGCCCGATGCGTCTGGGATGTGACAAGACCGGGCAACGCTGCAAACTGCGAGTTTGAAGTCGGGCATGTCCTTCTGCAGGAAGAGTATGCAACAGTAGTCAAGAATTAGTCTGGGGATTTATTGTGGGATTGTTATTCAGCATTTTTC